TCTATCAAGAGGTGGAGATATATAAAAGATAAAATTGGAAAATTGGAACATAACTATTAGTATAACATGGTAAAATGGTAGGTTAATTTTATTGTCCCTAAAAGAAATTGGTCTTGGGCTATTGCTCCTTAAGCAGCATGACACAGAATTCCAGACAAAATCACAGTCTAACGGTCCAGTTAAAATGGCTGCAAAAAGAGCACTTTCAAAATGAAAAATAACACTTGAAGTGTAATCTCTGAATCTTTTAAAGGCTGTGTTTAATTTTACAGTCCATTCACTTTAATGATGTTTGATGTTGTGATAATTAAATTGAACACTGACAACATTTACAAGCACATTGCTAGGACATCTCTGATATGAATTAATGAGTGAATGAATACAGTGACATCATGCTGGGGGTGTTCTACATGTATCTCTAATGGAGGAATGTTTAGGAGTTAACATAGAGACACAATGGATTAGCAAATACTGTCAAATAAGTTTAAAAACTGCCTGAAAACCCAAGAAAAACACAAAATGGAATTAAACAGCTCTAGCAACATCAGTTCTTTATGGTCGGATTGTGTTAGAGTAAAGCTCAGATTAGGGGTGTGCAAAAATATTGAAATATCGATGTATCGTATTGTTTAATGTGATGATACAGTATCGATACTGTGGGCTGCTGTATCGATATATCACCAGGAGTAGTTTTTGGTATATTTTACTAAATTATTTTGTTACAGTGCTACAGTTTTGTTGCTTGTTTAGAGAAAGGAAACTCATTTATGCGACACATTTGACATTTTCACTGTTTTGAGGATTCAGATGGGTGTGTTTCATATTCACTTCGCACGAAGAAATGGTTTAATAAAGAGTTTTAGTATCACAGACATGATTTAGACATCATTTTCTATTGAACTGTATTGACTCAATTTGAAATATATTGAATCGAACCAAAACGGCACTGTTTTGAGATGTGTATTGTATCATGGCCTATGTATCGAGGTATGTATCGTATTGGCAACTTCTTAATGATACTCAGCCCTAGCTCAGATTAAAGTATAATAAAGCCTCAGACGGAGCAGGGCCTACAGTTAGCATCACACCTCCAGGGAATGTTCTTGATCAGCTGCAAAATGTAATTACTGTTGTTATAAATTGTTATAAAGATAATCCCAGAAATATTAAAACACACATTTTCATATTGGCCAACACTAGTGCCCTCTTTTTTTAGCAAGCTGCTCCAATTCCAGGTATTTCAATAGTCCTTAATATTGTGGTCCTGTTTTTATTATAAAATACAGCAATAGTAACTCTGGCTGTAGCTTTTGTCCCACTTGGCCGTGAGCTGACCTTCCGAGAGAATGCCAGCCATCTTGGGAGTGTTGGGTGCAATAATTCAACTTACAAGTTGCTTCAAACAGCCAAACTTTGCCTGCAGTAAACAGAAAGTGAGAGGTCTTCATTTTAAAGTTTAAAGCCTCTGCAGTGTGTGCTCTTGTGTCTTGGGTCACACACAGACTCTGGCTCAAGGCTGCAGTGTGAGAAAGAACAAGGCGAGGTACTGAAGGTCATTATGCAAGGACAGGTTCTGCAAATTAGACTTTCCTATGTCCAATGGGAATGTACTGCAAGGGAACAAGGTTTTATGGTTACCAGTTATAAAATAAACTATTATAGAAGCTTAAATAAGAAATATAGAAAAGGAAATATACTTGTAACTTAATCAATAATGTGTTTTGAGAAGCCCCTGAAGTGTACAGAAGCAAAATTTTTTTAAAAAGAGCAGAAATGGGAAAAACTTTGTAAATTTAATTTTTAAGAAAAATATACTTTTTGGAGAACTGTAAATATAAAAGTAAATATAAACTGGTCCAAAAGAAACTGAGCAAAAAAGAGACAACAAGTGACGCTTTTTTATTTTATTTTGTTTTGTTTTTGTTTTTTAGTCAGTTGTAATAATTGAAAAGGTTCCAGAAATTATCTATGCCACCACAGTCACCATAACGCTCGCTATGGCTTCTCTTGTTCAAAATCAGACAAAAATATGGAGCCATTTCACTGCATGCACACGTCAATAAATTCAAATAATGTGTCAAATTTTTTATGGAATCTATGCTCAAAATGCATTGATCTAAATAACATTTTTAAGGTGTGCTTTGTAACTTCTTTGGTGGAGGGCTGCCACCTATTTCTCTTCAGGGAGATTGAATTGCTTTGCCTGGATTGTTCCACAGTCTAACCTATCTGACTGTCACCATGGAGACAAGCAGGTAGTGCCACGAGGCTAAATTACAAGTCAGTTCTGTGGAGAGGTGACACTTCTTACAGTGTAAGCATGTTTTTCAATGCTTTTCTAGCAATTAAAATACCTGTAATTGAGATGTGTGAAGAATCCCTCAGTCGTCCAGGAAGAATCCATGGCGAGGAGAAAATTCAGTTTGTCGACTGGACAAAAGTTAGTTAGGTTGAAGACGTTTCACAGCTCATCCAAGCTGCTTCTTCAGTTCTGGTCAGAATGCTGGTCCTCACCTGTAATTGAAAAAGAAATATGACATTGATAAGTTAAATACGTGTAAGCAAAGCAATACCATCTTGCTGGAGTGTGGCAGACCTCCCACTAGAAAAGTTACACAGTGCACTTTTAAAGTTCATAAATTTCATCTTGACTTTTGTTTCTCTTTCACAGTCATAAATAGACCTAAGTTACAAATGCACAATTTATTAACAAAACACTAATTAGTAACATATTAACAAATACTCCCATAGAGATAATTTTCTCAATAACCATGTAATGCAAAAACATATCAGTCCTGATTATTATTTTATTACTGCCATTTCCGTCATAGCTCTACTAAATGCTGAAACAGTCTAGTCACATAGGTATAAAATAATACAATATCATAGAACATTATTATCCACTGGCCAACGGACCCAAGTATAAAGATTGCCTGGGTTTTTATCGCTGCTAGACAACAGGTCAACTGATATTAGAGGGCCATTTACTGCCTTCAGTGTTTATGAACTCCACCTCATCCCGGGTTTTACAAAACTGTGATAATGCAATCTCTACACAAAAGTACAAAGAGAAAGACATGGCAATTACAATGGGCTATTAGAGGCTAAAGCATAAGAAGTAACTGTAAAGAGGCTCCAGTAGAGATTAGACATCAGCGCTAACAAAAACTAAAAACCTTTCTTGGGGTCAAACATGGAGATCTCATAATCTCAAACAAAAATCCGATTATGTGATAAAGTGAGACCTTTACTTCAAATAGCTGCACAAGCACATAATCTCAAAGAACAATTTTGACATTTTAATCAAAAGTCAGTAATAAATGCTCAGATTATTAGGTTAAATGATAAATGTGATGACTCAGGCCTCAATGTTGTCATTACAAGTTTAGGAGCAGTTTTTGGTTCCAGATCTGACCTGTAACTTGATCTGATTTGGTCTCCATGAAGATAGAAAATACTATACTGTGAAACATTACAGACAAAGCAATAACATTACTAGGTTTGGGTAGCATTCAGAAGTTACCGATACGATATATACCTCGATACATAGGCTACGATACGATATGCAGCTCAATACAGTGAGCTTTCGATTTGATACCATATATTTCAAATCAATTCGATATGGTTCAGTTAAAAACAATATCATGTCTATGATGCTAGAAGTCTTTGTTAAATCACTTCTTGTGCAAAGTTAATATGAAACACACCCATTTTACTGATCAATGAATATGTCAAATGTGTTGCATAAATGAGTTTCCTTTCTCTAAACAAGCAACAAAATTGTAGAACTGTAACAAAATGATTTAATAAAATATATAGAGACAGCAGCCCCCAGATCAATACTGTATCATCACATTAAATGATACCATACATCGATATGATCAATATTTTTGCAGACATCACCACGAAGAAAAGCGATGGACTCTCCGCCAAAAAAGTTACACAATGCACCTTTAAGTATTTTAATTAATAAAATGTCTGTGTAATCCCTCAGTCCAGGTAGGTTCCATAGCAAAAGAGAACTCAATTCTGTCAACTGGGCAAAAGTTTTAGAGTGAAAAATGAAGAGTGGCAGTACATCCCAAAACAACAAATTGGTAAAATTGTTTTACTGTTTTATATATTAGTAACCCTAAATAAATAAAGATTGCCTGTGCCACCACAGTTTGACAAAACTTTACAAAAACTTCTAGCCAGGCTCGCATGACCTAGTGCCTCCACTCAAATTCATTTCTCTCCAGCAACTAGGTCAGGAATCGGAATACACTAGACAGTGCGAGTTCGGGCACCAGTCAATCAGCGAAGAGCCATATATTCTGTGTTGGCAACAATTCCCGAGATCGAGGATTTAAAACCAGAACAAAGAGAATGTTTGGTGAATTTTATCAAGGTGAAAGACGTTATTGCCCTTTTTCCTACGGGATTTGGGAAAAGCTTAATATACAAGTTAGCCCCGTTAGTGGCGCACTACATACGTCATGACCAAATAGCTGCGATTGGTTAAATTTAAAAAAGTACCCGCCTACCGTCGAGCGAACGAATTCTAACGCTGCTGAGGTCAGACGGTTTCCACAGAGTGAAACCGTCCGATGAATCGGGCTACAAAACTTCTGGATTTGAGCAGAATGTAGAAGAGACTGGCTGGTCAGGCAAATTAACTATAGCATACAACCATTTCCAGTGATTCGACCTGGACTAATGAACACATCTACACTTATACTGTAATACTAACTAATCTTATCACAAACATAGATGCTAAACTAACTCTAAGGCAAACAATCAAACAAGAACATGATCTTGCACCCTAAACTATTACTATTTAAACTTACCACTATAAGTTCATTTGGTTTGCTCTGCATAATCCTCTGCACAAGTGCTCAAATGCGACTTTATTTTATCAATATTTTACGGCCCTCGTGCGCCTCTTCAAACTTCTGCTCCATCTCCACTGAAGTCTCGGGGCTGCCTAGCAACAGCTTCAAATCTCGCGGTGTTTCAGTCTCAGGCTGCGCAGTGACAGCAGGGGCATCTTGCGTTGTGAACAAACCTCAACATGGCAGATTTTATTCTTATGGAGGATGATAAGAAGCCAGAAGAGTCTACTACGACGAGTGAACCCGGTGAAACGTCCCAAGAAGTGCAGAATGGGGACAAAACGTGAGTAGAGACGCACCCTTTTCCCGAACATCCCATTCCCATTCATGTTCCCCGGAGCTAGCTAAGATGGAGTCCATGGATGTTAGCCATTGTTAGCCTCGGAGCCATGCGGAATCTACACAGCCTCTGCAGAAATACAACCGGCGATCTTTAAAGCTAACATACTTTGTGCCTCGATGCGTTCACAGCTGATATATGCCAGACATCACGATTGTTTTATATTTGGAGTATAGCGTATTCTTATGCGCACGTGCTAACTATAAAGGTTAGCTTGAGAACTCGTGTTGACGAAATTGGGAAAAAATAGTATTAGCCTATATGTAAACAGCGATTCCGGTTTAGTTTTGTACCACAGTGCACCGTCTATACGAGCAGAAAACAATTGCAATGTCAATATTAAGACAATAAGATGCAATATTAACACGAGGCATTTATTAATTATTAAAAAAAACACACTGATAATTTAAAAGCATTTATCATAATTTATACATTTTCAACTTTTCATTACATATTATGACAAATTAAAGTATGTGAATTATGTAAAGTAAGACACTTTGAATGAATACCCGGCTTCCCGGCTAAAACTGTATATCAGCGTTTGCATGTCTGCTCATGGTGCTACTGCCACAGATCCTTCACAGTGTTGTTTTGCCCATTTTCTAGCAAATGCTCAAAGTAAGATGGTATTTACATTGACTTGGTTTAGTTCGACAACAGTCAAGCGTCTTGGCACCCACATACTAACGACCCTCTCTGTTACAGGGAGAATGAAGAGGATAAAACTGATGATGAGAAACAGGATGGCAAAGAGCGCTCACGAAAAGGAAACCGCTTTCACCCCTACAAAGACAAACAGGACAGGAAGGCCGGTCAGAAGAACCGAGTCTTCATCAGCAATATCCCCTATGATATGAAGTGGCAGGCTATTAAAGATCTAATGCGTGAGAAAGGTAATGTGTACAGCGGGTAGAGCATCAGATTTAATATTGCTCTCTCTTGAGCCCAGAACTGCTTAAGCTACCTATTTTTGCTGATGGCTTCATTTTCTTTATAAGCGCCACACTTTTATTGTAAGCAGGTATTATATTGTGAATTACAAGTGTCACTGGTGCTTCAATTTTAAATTGAATTTATTGGTAACAATTTAGTCTGGGCTGATATGTCTGTGAGAAATGGTAGATGATAGTTAATTGTTATATGGCATAGTCAGCTCCAAAATGTAACCTCAAACTCTAGACACGATTGTTGAGTTTGTTGAATATGCTGCAGGGTGAACATTTTAACCTAGCAGATCTGAATGAAACTTTTGTAATGTTTTACACTGATATATGGGTTTCAAAGTAGTATTTGCAAGCTTTAAGGATAGTTTTTATTCATTTGAAATACCAAATGTGGAATCTGTTGACCATTGATCACTGTTGAAGTCTTCCCCAGGTTAAATGTAGCTGTGTTTCTCTCTGGCCTTGGCCGTGGGCTTGTGGGGGTCTCAGTCACGGCCCACAAAGGCAGGTGTTGTCTGTGGGTGTTGGTCTGGGCTGACTGTTGATCATTAATGGGACATTTCCATCTGTAGCGGCAGTGCCAAGGCCGGCAGCGACTGAGAAGACTTGGTGACTTAAATCCCTTTTGTTCTCTTGGTATTCTTTCCTTTGTATGTCTCATGTAGTTGGTGAGGTTACATACGTGGAGCTCTTTAAGGATGCAGAAGGAAAGTCAAGGGTAAGTGATGTGGCACAAGCAGGTTTTTATTCTACAGTGCTCTTATTAGGTCTTTTTGGTCTTATGTTACTGAACTGGAGTTACTGTAGTTGTTTAGAGCCTGATAGATGGCTTATGTTTGACATTCATTTGAAAGGGAGATGGCCTGTTGATTTTTGGAAAAGTAGCCCAATGAATGAACTCATTCAAGATTAGACTTTTGCTTTTGTTGCTGTTTCTCTAAATTGCTGTTAAAGTTTGTTTTGGCTATTTTCCAATGTGGGTTGTGTGATTTGCTTCCATGATTGACATGTCTCAAATTTAAATGTTACGGCTCTCTCTTCAAAGGAACAAAACAGTTTTGAATGAAATTTGTAGTTTAAAATGGTAACTCATTGTTATTGCTTACTGTTAACTTTCCAATTATTGGTAAATATCAGTGTAAAATTGTAATGTTAAATAATTATTCTGACAAAGGTGGGTGTTTTTATTTTGTTTTTTATGATCAAATAATAATTAAAATTAATTAGTTGTGGTAAAATTCATGATCCGTGCACATTACAGACCATAGTAGTGGCATGTTGACACATGCTGCTCTTCTCATTGTAACTGTGCTTGTTCTGCTCCCTCATCTCTGGCTGGATTCTTCCTTGACTTCTGTGGCACTGTATTTTAGGGCTGTGGGTAAGTTCTACATTTATGGACAGCTTTCAATCCTTTTCTTTGTGTTTCTCACTTTGATGTTTCCTTGCAGTGTGGTGGAGTTCAAAGACCATGAGTTTGTCAAAAAGGCTCTGGAGGTTATGAATAAATATGTCTTAAATGGAAGACCACTCAACATTTCATCAGTAAGAACCGTTTTAGTGAGTCACGACTAAACCCTTCCCTGTTTGTGGGGTAAGAAGCTGTAGCTTCTTCAGCCATTTCAAACACGTGAATCATCTCCACCATTGTACATTTTATGAGTTTCTCTTAAATATTCAGTATGAACAGTTTCACCATTGTGGTTTATAGGATCCGGATGGAGAGATCGCCCAGCGGGTCCTGCAGCGTTTTGCCAGAGGGCCACTGGGGGGTCGTCCTGACATGGCCCCTGGAGTTGTGAACATCCCGCCCTCCATCGCCAACAACCCCAACATCCCCCCCGAGGTCATCCACGCTCTGAGGACTGGACGCCTAGGCACCACTGTCTTTGTGGCCAATGTGAGAATACTTTAAGTTACTGCCTAAATGCAAGTTGAAATAAAGTATATTAGAGAGAACCAAAATGATTAAAGCTGCAAGCAGCATCATAGGCCCTTTAAACCTGAGAGACTGAATGAACAAGCGTTTTTTCTGTTGTGTCTCAGCTTGATTATAAGGTGGGCTGGAAGAAGCTGAAGGAGGTCTTCAGTATGGCGGGTATAGTGAAGAGAGCTGACGTGAAGGAGGACAAAGATGGACGAAGTCGTGGAATGGGAATGGTCATCTTCGAGCAGCCACTAGAAGCAGTGCAGGCAATTTGTATCCTTCAAATGAATTCACCAGTTGTCAGAAGAATATAGTAAAGGAAGAGAAACATAACCGTGTATTTAACCTTAACTCTGGTGTCAGCCATGTTCAATGGACAGATGCTTTTTGACAGACAGATGTTAGTCAAAATGGTGAGTTTTTCCACTTTTTGGTTGATTGAGAATACTGCTAATGAAATATGATTCAAAACACTCATTTAACTGTTGCAGGACGACAAGTCGATTATGCTTGACGACTGTGGTCCCCAGCTGCCTCGTAAGTTAAACTTGTTCTAGTATATCTATATTAGAGCCCGACCGATATATCAGCTGGCCGATATTATCGGCCAATATGGGCACCTGGAGACATATCGGCTATGGGCCGATATTTCACGTGGGCATGTTATACCTCGTTATAAATCTTAGACTCTCTACATTATGTTAATATAATCCAATTTATAGACAGATAAATGTCCTAATATGTGGCTCCGCATCAGTATTTATTTGCGGTGTAATTTCTGTGTCGGTACTGTCCCTGAACACACCCCCAGAGTCACGTCACTTCACTCACGTGCTATTGTTCACACCCGCAGCGGTGCGCAACACTGAGATTATATTCTTTTTACGGACAATCGTCTTGAGTCTGGATTAAAAGGACTTTTATTAGTGCAGACTTGTGATGTGAGGAGGAGCCTGTGTGAGCAGTGAGTGTTGGAAATATGTTAACTTTGAAGCTAGTTAGCTGTTAGCTGCTGTAGCTCCCGCACATAAACAGGCTGTTTCTATTGGCCTATTGTAAAGTGACTGTATTGTCCGTATATTTGCTACTGGACCAGCATTGATATGTAAATGAGCTGTGAATAGACGTGTGAATGATCCACATTTATGCATATAATTAATTACCGCGGTGCGCACGTTTTTACGGCTAAAGGCTAATAGCGGTAGTTTACTAGCTAGGAGTTATGGGTCGGTCGCGATCGAAGCAGCTCTTAGATCCGGCTCTTTGAAGCGAACAACGGGAGCATGTTTCTTATTGGGAGCCGTGTTTTCTCTTTTTCTCACTTTTTCTCTTCAAGCCGCTTGTAGACCCGTAGTTTGACAGCAGCAGCGGCTGAAAACGAAACTTTCAGAAATATGCGTGTGCATAGGATTTTTTAAAAAAAAGTGCATATTTGGCTGCAGTTCAGCATAAAATGAATAAACCAGGACTAATCTTGGTCTTGAGAGAGAGATAGAGACCGAGTCCCGACACTCAGTCCTGGTTCAGTTCTGGTTTAGTCCTGTTTCACACATGGTTTAAATCTGTTTTAGTCCTGGTTTAGTCCTTTTTCAGTCCTGGTTCAGTTTTAGTTTAGTCCTGCTTGCAACAAAACAATCTCAAGAGTCGCTTGGGAGCCGAAAAAGCCAGCTGCTTTAGTGAGCCGAGCCAAAAGAGCCAGTTCTCCAAAAAAAAAACTGGAATACCCATCACTAGTAGCTAGAATGTGATGCAAAAATGCCATTAGGCCAATCTACTGTATGTAAATATGATGTAAAGAGTCAGAATAACAATAAATGTTGCCTAAATAAACCCAATTTAGAATCCACTAGAGCCAAACCTAAGTTTTTTAAACAATTCAATATTTACAGTGAATTTTTACATCACTAAATATATCTGCGATTATATCGGCTATCGGCAGCGCCAACTCCCATTATATCAGTTTCATATCGGCCACAACAAAATCCATATCGGTCGGGCTCTAATCTATATTTATTTAAATTTATTTTTGACAGCATTTACATTTTAGATCTCATTTGTTTTTCCCCGTGCACATCCTTTTATTTAGAGTGGTCACTGTGTCCTGACCTTGTATTTTATGCGTAGGTGGACTGTCTGGTGTGGGCATGGGACTGGGACCAGGGGGGCAGCCCATCAATGCCAACCGTCTGAGTGGAGGAGGCGACATCTGCCCCATGAGGCCTGGAGGTGGGTTAGGCTTATTTTAGTTCAGTTAGTTTGTTAAATAGATTTTTTCACCTCTTGTAAATAAAAGTTGCTCTAGTACCAAACCTTTATTCTCCCAGCGACTCCTATTTTATTCGTGGATATATTGACAACCCCCATATTCATGTGCTTGAGAAGCTAGTGTCTTTATAAGGAAAAATATAATATTGTGGTTATTAAAGATATCATAGAACGATAATTAATAAAAGAAATAAGAACAGTGACTCCTCTACAGTACCGCAGACTCTTACTGTCACACGATTGGCCGTAGACCTGTTGATTATAATATTCTTGCCTTATTATCAAGATCGACCAAAGTTTAGATTGCGATATAGATCTTTTGATTTTTATCACAGTCCTTACAGTCTATCATTCATTTCCAAGCATTAATCCAAATGTTCCCAAACTTCTGCCTCTCGTTAATATATAAACTTGGTCCAGACAATATCCTGTCTAACTGTCTTGGCCAACCTTTCCGTGGCTCATCTTTTGACCCGGACGACTCCAGAATCTGGGTTATACAGATAAGACATGTTAACAGCAGCACCATCTTTATCGGTGTCTTAAAAATGTCCTTTGTTCCTCATTAGATTATTATCGTTATGTGGTGTACATAAAAACAATGAACTTCTGTGTGCTCTGACCGACTTCGATTCTTCTGATAGGGATGGACATGCCCGGATACAGTGGAATGAACAGGCTTGGAGGAGGTATTGTTATAGCTTAAAGTGCTTATGACAGGTTCTGATGATTCTTGTTTTTTACTTAAACTGGTCGAATAAAACGTGTTGCAAATATAAGTTATAGTTTTACATCAGTTGAGAAGCAATTTACAAAGAAAAGTTGAAAAATGTTGAAAATTTCCAGAGTTAGTTACACATTGATGACAGCACACTGGGAGAATTCTGTCCAAACGTTTGGTACAATTTAAATGCAACACACACATTTTCTGATACTTTTAAACTTAATTTCAACAAAATAAAGATGTTTTCTTATATAGTTTTGTCAGATTTAAATTTCTTTGTCTATTAAGGGGAGTTTTGGCCCAGTGTAACACATGGAAGTACAACTTTAAACCTAAAAAATTGCCAAACTGGGAAAAGAAAAGTTAAATCTTCAATATATCAATGAAATGATCTTAGCTGTGTTTTAGTGAAATTTGTTGAGTTAAATGAGTTTGCAGTCAGTGTGTTGAGAATGAGCTTCTTTTACAGGTATGGGAGGAGGCTTTGGGGGCATGGACAACATGGGCAGTATGGGAGGATTCAGCAGAGACATGGGTCGAATGGGAGGTGAGTCATGCACAGCCAAAATGAATAGGTAAGGTGCACTATTTCAACACAAAGTAATTGCTTAGATACTAGGTAGCTCAGTTTAATACCATACTGTGGAACTTTTACAAACAGCGCATTAACATAATGGAGACGAGCAGATGGCAGTACTGCTACTAGAAAACTTTCATAGTGACCTTTAAATGTCTCTTTGCCAGTTTTTCATTGTATTTTGTGAGATGTGAGTGAACCGGACCATTTGTCATCTAAATGTAAAATAATGTAAACGTCATGCATCAGTTAGATTTATTTCCTACAAATTATTGATACTTTACAGCTGATGTCATCCACATTTCCTGAGGGTGTGACGCTAACTGTAGGCACTGCATTGGTTTAACACAAACTGAAAGACCTGACTTAATTGAATCTACATAATGTGAGTTGATTTGTGTGTCCCACATAAAACTGCAGAACGCTCGTATTGATCACAGATTAGAGTCCTGCATGAGTTCATTTTTGGAGACCCGCACCCATGCAGTACAGCACAGCCGTGATTTTAGCAAAGTTAAACCTACGTTACTTGCCCGTGATAAATTACACAGAAATTAAAACCATTTTAACTGAAGCATCCATCAGAATACAAATTGAAAAGTTATGACTTCAAGAATTACAATCACGAAATGAAACAGTTACGCATTCTTCAGTACGAATATGAATTCACAGACACAACTCGGCTGTCATCACTTCACAGGCATTATTTACTGAGCAGAAGAAACATTGGTTGAGATCCTGGACTTTTATGCCTCACACACCACAGACTGAACCAGGATTGAACCGGGAGGACTAAACCAAAACTGAACCAGGACTCACTGTTGGGACGGGCTCGGAGGTGCGCCTGCATAGACCGTCGCCCAATCGCGCTTTGGGGACACCCTGTTCCGTGGGCTCTGGGTTCTCTCTCTTAAGTCCAAGATTAGCTTACTACCAGCCTGCATACCCGCCTGTAAAATTCCAGAACATTAAAATCCGCTCGTTTCAGTTTCACTATCAGGCTCCTGAAAATGTGTTGTTTAAACCCATTTATGTATTTTTCAGTTTTCAGATTATCTTAAAACATATTTGGCAGTGTTTGCTAATGTGTGCATTATGTCTCCATGGTAACTACTAAACATTCCACCATAGACATACATGTAGAACACCCTCAGCGTGATGTCACTACAAAGTATCAATATTGTACTACAGGAAAAGGCCAATGTCTGTTTTAGAAAATGCAAGAGAATTGAATGTAATGGTTTTTAAGCCTGTACCAGTGTTCATTAGTGTAATATGTTTGCACAGACACGTACCGGTCGGGAATGGGAGGCATGGACCGGGATTTCGGCCGCAGTGACATGTCAATGAACAGAGGGTTTGGAGACTCATTTGGAGGAATGGGTAAAGAGGCCTTAACCTTACATTCTTAACATACTTTAACCACTAAAGAATGAGAGCAATTTTTACTGTGCTTGCTTTGTGTGGCCCTTGCATAGAAATCTTATCTAATCTGTTGTTGAATTCTGTCTCTTTTAGGAGGCGGTGGATTCGGAGGAGGCATGGGCAGTGGCGGCATGGGCATGGGATCAGGGCTAGGTAAAATTTTTTTTACAAATAGAGCTGGGCGAGTTTTGCCTAAAAGAAAATGATCAGTTGTTGACTTGCCCTAAAAATGTTAAAATGGAAAATAGTAGGCTCATTTTGGTTCAAATTATTGTTTTTGTTGTGGACTATAAATAGAAAAGGTCTAAACACAGTATAGAAGCTTAAAAACTCTAACTCAAGTCTCTGGAAACACTCTTCTTTTCGTGCTGCTCTGCTGTTTACACTGGGACAGAATTTCTGTTTGGCCCAGATACTGAAGTCCAGACAAATCAATGTGGATTTTAAATGAGATCAGTCGATACTTTTAATTTTTTTTTTTCTCCATCCCTACAAACATACAATTGGGTTGCTTTCTTATCTTGAGAACCCATTCGTTTTTGTCGTACTACTAAAATTACTAAAAATGTTCAAGCTTTATTGTGGCTATGGATTTTGATTCCACAATGATGATCGAAAAACTATTTTGTACAGTAAAATGTAACAATGGCTTCTACTGATTCTGACATAGATCATTCTTAAAACATTGAGAAAAGGTTCAGATTTGTCCCCTGTATGTGATCCTTTCCCCAGTATCCCTAACATGGTTGGGTTGTTTGGCACTGATCAAATGTGTTTCCATCACCCAAAAAACCTGCTTTACGGTATAAAGAAACTGGTCTTATTTATCACTGATTAAATGATGGAATCCCTGTTTTTCCTTGTGTTCGGCAGGTGGAGGGATGGGCGGCATAGGCATGGACAGGATGGGCTCTGGGTTCGACCGCATGGGGCTGTCAGGGGGGCTGGACATGAACCGCGGGAGCTTTGGGGGCTTTGGAGGCAGCGGCTCAGGGCACATGAGCGGGGGCATGTCTGACGGAAGGGGCAAACCAGGCTGCCAAATCTATGTCCGAAATGTAATTCTGTTCAACCACTATTTTTCATATACTTTATTTAATGTTTTGCTTTTTTTTATATATATATAACTTCTCAAAAACTTTACTTATTTTTATCATATTGCACAATTTTCTGGTAATTTTGTCTAGCAATATTTTGTGGTACTAAATCTTGTCTCCTCACTATGATAAAAATATATAAAAGTAAATTATGAAAATGAAGGCTAGGGTTCTTTTGCTTCTAAATTACTTCTATAAACCTTAAAAGGGGACTAAACACCTCAACTCCTCCCACAGCCACATCTTAAATAGAGCTGCTAACTTGGGGGGTATAAGGAACAGTGTGATTGGTATCTGCACTTCAAAAATAATATAGTTTGTTTTTTGCAGCTTTCGTATGATTTGACATGGCAGAAGCTGAAAGAGAAGTTCAGTCATTGTGGTAAGATGTTTACATACATTTAGTATTTTAAAACTACAAAATCATCAGACTCAAAAACTTGGCACAGCTAATACAGTTCTTTGTACTTTCTTTCTGCAATTTCTTTACTTACTATAGATGGACAATAGTGAGCCTTTTTCATTTATAAAAATGGAATATAATAAATGCAACAATGCTGATCAATTTTGGAAAACTATCAAATTGCAATATGATTTGCAATTCTTGCCAAATCGTAAGCATCCAGAAACATGAACATTCAATAATGAATTATAAGACAGGGAGGGGAGAGAGTTCAAGAAAATAAAATCAGATGCAATCAAGATAAATAAATAATTGAACTGCTTACTTAAACAAAAATCACTTGTGATCCTGTCTAGGCCTGAACAACACGGATAGCAGGTTTTAAAGAGAATATTTTTGTTATAGTTGGCAATAATAACCCCTGTACTAATGTTGTTGTTGTTGGTATATGTGATTTTAACACACTGACATTTGTTTTTTCAAACGTAAAGTGCAATATGAATAAAATCTATTATTATTATTAATGATTAATCCTTGTTACAGGCCAGGTGATGTACGCAGAGATAAAGATGGAGAACGGCCGGTCAAAGGGCAGTGGCACAGTGCGTTTTGACTGCCCCGAGAGCGCGGAGAAGGCCATCAGACTCATGAACGGAACCAAGATCAACGGACGCGAGGTGGACGTGCGCCTGGACCGTGCCACCTAAACAAACCTTTTCTAGATCCACACGCCCTCATTCAGCCCTTTTTGGCCAATTATGGTTTTGTTTTGTTTTAAAAACGCTAATTACCCCACAACCATGTTCATTCTTTTGTTTTGTTTATATTCATCATAGGTATTTTATCTTTGTTTTGTAAATCCCTTTTTTGTCAAGGCAGTTTGAAGAAATAAAGTTTTTAATTTTTAAATTTGGTGTTTGTAGTGTCTGCATTCAGAATACAACATATGCTTTAAATATTATGTAAAATTGACTCATGAACTTTAAGCCGTATTATAATGCTGTTGCCTCATCAAAAACTTACTGGGGGAGGAGTCTTGTTTTATTTACATATGTTAAAGTAATTCTTTATTAGTCTGTCCACATTTCTAAAGCTCAAAATGCTCTGTTCCACCTTGTGATGTCATGTAGTGGTAGTTTTCCAGTTAACGACTAACTTTTACCTTTTGTTTAGTAGAGACTGGAAATTGGCACAGGGCTGAAATTATTCAAATGATTCTAGTGAAGGTGTATGGAGTTTTAAACAGAAACGCACTTGCTGTACCAGATGACGTCACAAGGTGGAACAGTGTTTTCCGTTGAGAGAACTCAGCCTAAATAAGCAGGAGTTGTGAATTAAATATGTGAATGAAATAAAACAACTCCAGGTTTGTTGGTGATGAGGAAACGACATAATAGATCAGAAACTACTGTTATATGGGCCCTTTAAAGGTGCATTGCGTAATTTTCATGACCGTAACTTGTCTCCGTGGACACATTCTAGCAGATGCGCCACCTGGCCAAGTTACTGAAGTGTACCTTATTGCAATTACCACCTGGGGACATAACCAGGAGCAACACCTATTAAATCCTAAAACAGGTTTAAGCTATGACTGTACTAGATTCTAACAATGATAAAATGCAGCAGAAACTAGATCAAGCTAATGTTTTTTAATTGCGTCCCCATAACCTATTGCAGACCACTTTTCGGTTGGCTAGGCAACATTTTGCAGACTTTTTCTCATTCAGAAGATCTAATATTTAGTTTCAAAATGTTAATCCCTATGGCAAAGGCCCAAATTTTTCATAATATTCAATAAATCCTGAATATATATACAGCACATAATAAATGTAAATTAGGATACAAAACATTAATATAGAAAAATTGGGTTATTAGTCCTGAAATATTCCCAATGTTGTATTCCCAGGAAGTAACGTCTAAAGATAGGTTTTACTATTTACAATCCCCTCTTCACAGATAATGAGGACATGCCCATAAACCTTATCAGATCCATTCAAAGTGTGTGTGTTCTGTCTTCACTTATTCACCCAGTTTTCAAATAAGACCAAGGTTAAGCAAGTTCAGGGGACACTTGTACTGTTTTTATTGGCTGAAACCAGTCAGTTCTGGTCAGGCGGAAGTAACACAATAAACGTTTATGGATCTTCAGGATAAATTTTGACTTCACCTTTAGAACAGTGAAGTTACATGAAGTGTTACATGATCATTTCGTAATAATTGTTTGGAAGATGAAAATAAAATATGGAAAAAACTATTTAAAAAAAGAAGAAAGAAAAATGGTAAGTGACAGTTTTAGACATATAGGAAAACACTTCACATAGTTGTTCACCTACATGAACTGATGGACTGCAAATTGTCTGGCGAATCTTCTCAAACTATTATTTCTGTTCTGTAGGCCTGTCACTATAACAATGTTAGAAGCAAAATACAGTTTGGAACATGTATTGATAAAAACCCTGTACACTTGTCTGAAGAAAGGTGCACTATGTAACTCTGAAATGCTACAGGCTTTTTACACCATATGTGGCAGCAAATGTGGCAGAAGACCTTCCAAACAAGACAAGACTGAAACATAGTGGAGTAAGAGTGAGGCCTTTCCTGTTGTGTTCACCTGGTTCCTCCTGGACACTGCGGTGATGCTGCGGGACACAAAGGAGGGGCACTTTTGGCTCTTCCTCTCCTCAAACTGCCATGTCACAAATCTGCTGACCCTACCTGACCAGTCATCCTGTTAAACAGCACTGAGACCTTTGCCTGAGACACAAATGCCATTGAGGAAATGTTGCTGTAAAACTGCAGGTTGCTGCAGCAAAACTTGAATTTCCCTCGGGACCAATAAAGTCTCTCTCTCGCTCTGTCTTTCTTTTCTGGTGGAGGGTCTATCACCTGAGATGTTTAACTAAGAATGTTCTACATGACATTAACCTTACCTATCTTTTATACTTTTTTCCATTTATAAGAAAAAAGAAACCATGCATGCATAGATCTGCCCTGTAACTTGGCTTGGTGGTGTCATCCTTCAATGCGAACAACATATGGAGACAAGATTTTGTAGTCTCTACCAGTTACATAGTGCATCTTTAACTAATTTGTAAATAGATGTAAGAAGCAAGCATAAGAAGCAAGAATGATAAGAAGCCCCTTGTGGAAAATAACACATTTTATTTAAAATAATTTTATAGTAGTGATATTAATAATAATTCAAGTATATTTAAGAATTATTTAAGTTACTACAGCTTATGTCAAATTATCACAGGAGACCACTCATTAAAGGAGCACTGTGTAACTTTTTTGGTGGAGGGTCCGCCACTTGTCTCCATGGAGATGTTATCGTTTTGTCTAGAAAGTTCTGATATGGTATTAAACATATTCAGCTTGCATTTACTCAATAATGTGGGTTTTACTCACCTAAAAACTTACATTATTACTGTGAGTGGGCGCACCTCTCCACAGATCTGACATGTTACTCGGCCCTGTGGTGTCAACCGCTGTTTACATAAAGATAAATAAGTGTAACACCATACCGCGGAACATTCCAGGCAGTATACACATGGAGGGAAGGTGACAGACCCTGCATCAGAAAAGTTACACAGTGTACCTTTAAAGGGACAGTTCAGAATTTTGGACATAGGACCTCATTTCCTAGTTAGCCAGAGTGTTGGAGACGTGTGGAGACACTTTTTTAAATATTCCATCCAGTCCTAGTAATTGCAGAGGTCACTGGTGATAAACTAGTGCATGTCAATGGCCATAGTTATCCTGCCACTAAAAACAGTCTTACCCAAAAGACAAAACACCCGAAGCAAATCTATAATAATGCCAGACTGTCAATGTAAAAGTCTGTGTTGATAGAATAATTTTAGAAGTAAAACCAATCTTGCATTTGAAGGATTTATGTCTGAGCAGCAGCAGTGAATTGTACTTCCTGATAGAAAGCTTGGCAGCGGCGGACTGATATATGAGAAAATAGTCCCTCAACATGTGACGATTCATGCGATGCAAGGTTAGTTTTATTTCAAACATTATTCTATCAACAACAGACATTTACATCAACAGTCTGGCGTAATAATAGATTTGCTTCGGGTGTTTTTTGGAGTGGGTAAGACTGTTTTAAGTGGCAGGATAACTATGGCCATTGACATGCACTAGCCTAGCACCAGCGACATCTGAAAATACAAGGACTGAATGGAATATTTTAAAAAAGTGTCTCCACACATCTCTAACACTCTGGTTCACTAGGAAATGAGGTCCTATGTCCAAAAATCTGGACTATCCCTTTAATAAAAAGTAAACAAAATGTAAAAAGGGTAGAATAAAGTTAATGGCTTATGGAGTGAATGATACATCAACACTGTAATTATTGTAACAGGCCAAATGTCGCGCCCGCTGCTTTGGTTCATAATGTGACCAGCACAGTTCATGTATTATATCAGCAGTCACTCAGCCTTCTTATGTTGACTTTGGGAGACTTAAAAGCTTAACATTTTTTGCACAATTGAATATCTGTAACATTCCTTTGGTCCGGAGAAAGCAGGTGGAGGGAATAAACAGTAGTATTCGCCTCAGTCACTGCATAGTCTTACAGGATTATTCCCAATAATGCCAAGCTCGTACAAAATGGACAAAGTTGCAAATACTATGTAACAGAACAGAGAAACCAGGCCAAGCTTCCAGTCCAGTCTCCATTTGTTTATATGGACGGCCACGAAGAGGAAGACGATGGAGAGGAGGAGCGTGGAGGCGATGAAGACCAAACCAGTGCTGTTGACTTCCACGGGGGAGCTGGTGTCCACGAAGGCAGTTTTAATGAACCAGGGCAGACCAAGGCACAGCATGTCGAACACATTTGAGCCCACGATGTTGGACATGGCCATATCAGCTTTACCTGGAATACAGAGAATGATTTAGGTTTATGGTTTTCACACTAGCATCATCTAAGAACATATTTGGTTTTCTGCAGTGGTGTAGTAGGGATTTTTTAAGTGGGGGTACGTAATTTGTGAATGAACCAGGAGGACTGAACTAGGACTGAGCCAGGTCTAAACCAGGACTGTGCCAGGACTACACCAGGACTAAACCAGGACTAAACCAGGTCTAAACCAGGTCTAAATCAGGTCAAATCCAGGACTAAATCAGGATTAAACTAGGCCTGAAACAGGACTGACCCAGGATTAAACCAGGTCTAAACCAGGACTGTGCCAGGACTACACCAGGACTAAACCAGGTCTAAACCAGGACTAAATCAGGATTAAACTAGGCCTGAAACAGGACTGACCCAGGATTAAACCAGGTCTAAACCAGGACTAAACCAGGAATGAACCAGAACTAAACCAGGACTAAACCAGGAATGAACCAGGACTACACCAGGACTAAATAAGGACTGAAAAAGGACTAAACCAGGACTAAACCAGGACTAAACCAGGTCTAAACCAGGTCTAAACCAGGTCTAAACCAGGAATGAACCAGGACTAAACCAGGAATAAACCAGGACTGAACCAGGAGTGAACCAGGTCTAAACCAGAACTAAACCAGGACTGACCCAGGCCTAATCTTGGACTTGAGAGAGAGAGAGAGAGAACCCCGTGAAGCCTGTCCCAATACTCAGTCCTGGTTTAGTTCTGGTTTATTCCTGGTTCAGTCCTGGACAGTCCCGCGATATCATGATCCTAAGCAATTTGTTTTCACCATTGCCGGTAGCTCCGGTTTGACATTTAAGTTGTAGCTATTTTATATTTGTTATTTTTTTATATCTCATGTTGGGAGAAGTGGGTGGACAGCGTACCCCCATGTACCGCGTCCACTACACCCCTGGTATTCTGAGTGCCACCAGATCTAAACCAGGAGAAGTTCCTATATTACACAAAATTGATTCTTGTTGGTCTTAAGCCATGTTAGAATGTTGTCACCTCATGGAAAACATACCTGGAGTTTCATTTAATTTCTTTCACACATGTTTTAGTAATCCTTTATTATTCCTCTGACCACACCTCCAAGGGCTTGTAATGTCCTGAAGTGGTAGTTTTAAAGTTAACAGCTACCTTTTTCCTTTTCTTCAATAAAGATTAGCAATTCCAGAGCTCAAATCATCCAAATTATTCTAGTGAAGGTGTGTGGAGTTTAAAAACACAGTGGAGCACTTTCTGTATTAACACACGGCATCACAAGGTGGAAGAAAGTATTTTCCGTTAGAGACAAGAACGACTACACCCGAAACAAAATGCATATTTAGAAAGGACATAAAATGATGATAAAATAGACTCTAAATTAGGCAAACACTAGATCTACTGAGGACTTTGCCAAACACCAGAAGGAGGCTGCGTGCACCACATTTTGCGAGCCATAAATTTAGATTATTGCAAGAAATTGGCAATATGATGATGTAGCGAGGATGTACAGTGTGGGGTCCAAAGGAAATCTACTCAAAGGAATACTGAATTTTAATGGCTTTGTTTTCAACCCATCTCCAACTTCCAATGGCTTTATCACAAACAGCTTAATTAAAATGGCAATATGCAGATAAAAAAAATCATCCTCAATAATTACTGAAATATCTGGTGCCTCTTATATGAGCAAATACATAAATACACAAAAAATCTAATATAAGCATCACAGAATTGTTCACCATTACAGCACTACTGCCACCAAGTGTTAGTAGATAGAACTGAATTGAAGCTTCCATTCCCAGTTCAGGCACATACACTACATGTGGCTATGGTATTATAAAGTGTTAGTTTTATAAATACACATACATTTATACTTTCTACAGGTACAGTATATATCCTTTTCTCTATAAAATGTTAACAACAGCGTGACTTTGTGAAACTGCATTTTCTATTCTCTATAATACCACGGACACATAATACGTGACATGTACATAACATATAATATCGATTCCTTACCTTCTCGGGCCACCATGACACTGGCCACTGTGTCTGGGATACTTGTACCAGCAGCGAGCAGCGTCAGCCCCATCACTGTGTCAGGAATACCCAGAGTCTCTCCTAAAACAGGAAAAAAACTAATAAAATAATCAGAGGCCATCATAAACTTTCTCTTTAAACTATTACAGAAGAAAAGAAATAGAGCACTTCACTGGGTCATAAAAAAGTAAAAAATAGCAGTACAGGTGCTCTACAGGGGTTAAACTAGTAATCTTAACAGAAAGTTACCCCTACTGAAAACTGTAAAAGTGGGCAAAGTACAAACCTGAGGCACTATGACTGAATATATTAAAAGTCCTTTATTACATGAAGCGACACCAATGCATTTCAACCAGCAAGATGGTCTTTGTTAGGGCATAATTACGATAAGATGATTTAGTAGACAATCATTTTTTACTAAGCTGCATAACACATTTTTACAAGCAGCTTTTGTTTGCTTTATTCAATTTCAGCTATAAATACGCTACATTATGAAACCAACACCGTCACCACAGTAACATTATCAAGACAAATGTGTTTTAATATTGTGGGATTCTCAAATGATTCTGATCTTCTGAACACCATTTGTGCCAAGTGCCCTAAAATTAGAGTTTGGTTAGGAAAGTCTAAGCTGCTGGAGCTTTTCCGTATGACCTTTTAGGGAAACATTTAGAACAGATCCTATTCCACAAAAAAGTGGAGAAAATATTATTTCTTCAACATGGAATCATACATTAAAAGGCCCATATTACAGTATTTTCTGATCCATGTTATAATGTTGTTTCTTCATCACAAACAGACCTGGAATTGTGTTTTGTTTCATTTTGTTTCATTTATATGTTTAACACACAAACCCTGCACGTTTAGGCTGAGTTCTTCTCTCAAACAAAAAACACTGTTCCACCTTGTGATGTCATGTGGTAATACAGGAAGTGCTCCATTGTGATTTTAAACTCCATACACCTTTCACAAGAATCATTTGGATGATTTACACCCCATGGACTTGCCCTTCTCTACTGAACTAAAGGTAAAAGGTAGATTAACTACAACTTAACTTGAAAATTGCAGCTTCATGACATCACACTGTGTAACAGTATTTTGAGCTTTGGAGATGACAGACTCTACTGTAGGCTGAGTAAATTTTCCATAATATAGGATCTTTAACCAAAAAATGAAAAATACATTGCACAAATATTTTTTAATAGGGCAAAGAAAACACATTTAGCCAGAGGGAAAAGCATGATAAAATGTGCTTGGACAACAGGGTACATGAAGTTCAACCCTCTACACTCTACTACACTAATCCATTCATTTGTTAAGATGCAGGACCACAGGCACTTTCTGATTCTCAGTATTGTATTTTAGACGAGTATTTGCCCCATGAGACCAAAAGTTCAATTTGTAAAAAGATAATCATCTAAGAACCACATGACCACATCATTTTTTGTCCATTTTATACTGACAAAATTCACAAAGGACAGGACAGGAGTGGGCCTAGATATAAAATAACATTACTTTTATTTATTTAAACTTATATTTATTAAGTGATAATAAAACTAAGTAGTTTAAGATGTATAATAAGTATACAAGTTGAAATGTGGCAACTGTGTGGTTTCAGTGCATTTATTGTCATTTCAGTTTAGTTTTGCATATGATTGACGGTTTTATTCTGCACTCTTCTCCTTTAATATTAATTTTATGAGGATTATTTATGTTTTGATTTGTTTGTATTGTGATTTTAATGTCTTTATTATTCTGTAAATCACTTTGAATTACTTTATGTACGAATTGTGCTATACAAATAAACTTGCCTTGCCTATTGGTTTACATTTTTTCTTCACCAAACACTGTTTATCGAGTTGAATTAATTCATTTAGATACACTTTTAGCCAATATGCATCTCAGTAAAACAATATTAACCGCCTCATATTTTTTTTACAATGCATTTTACATATACATTTGTGTTGTATTACTTCTAATCTTCCATGGTTCTTGGTTCTCCCTGTACATACACTATTCATGCGTTTCAGCTTACTCTCTAAGGCAACAATCCTGATTTTTCTGTATTTTCAAACGCACGGATAGTCCTCACATGACCAAGTTTCTCTCTGGGGTAGTACTGGTTCGTATAATCCCCCCCTCGACTGCACTGGAGCCACAATGGGCCTCCTCTGAACCTCCAGGATGATGGCATCTGAGGAATGAGGCAGCCGACTGCCATGTGACTGGACTGGGCTCAGTCAGACCTTTTCTCACCAGCTTCAAACCCTGATCTACAAAAGTGACCAGGAGACCAGCTGATGGGCTTACTACTGCACGTGATACATGTGCTTCCAAGAACATTGAAATCCCTGAGGTCCATACGTCTGCTTAGAAAAAACGTGGTTATCTAATATATAGTAGTTATGCATAAAGCAAGGATATATGGAAAAAACTGAAAAAAATCACAATGTTTTTATTTTTACTTATGAATATGCCTTTGTCCAATCTCATCGGAGACCACTGGGAGTATCAGATGTAGTAGCGTGGCAGAAGTGGCTCTAATGCAAACTGCTGGTGTGTCCTGGAACCAGACACTTTACGAACCATGCTTAATAGGAAAGTTGAACGAGTAGGAACGATTGGGTGATGGTCAGAGGAGACAGTGGTGCAGATTGACAGCCTTGCTTCTGTCAGTTTAGCCCAGGGCAGCTGTGACTACAATAACAGTTTACCACCACTGAGTGTAGAGTGAATGAACAGTGCATGAAATTGTGTGGTGTCTGAAAATGCGCTATATGAGACACATTATCATCAAAATAATTATTTAGCTTCAGCCTACACCTCTTTGTCTGTGTATGTTAAATATGACTGACTGTCTGTTGAATAACATCATAAAATGCCTGTGACTGAAAGAAATTAATCAGTCAAAATCTATTTTCAGTATCCCACAAAGCCTGTGTGGAAGACTAAACCTGACTAAACCTGGACGAAATCCAGACGAAATAGGCATAAAGCACATCTGATGGATATTGGCTACTGCTGCTTATAAGTGTGAGTATAAAAGTGTTCACATCTAGTTAGACTACACAAGAGCTGCTGAGGTTTTGGAGATGATCTTAGCCACAGTTGTCAAGCTATTGCAATTTTCCATTGCTTCAAACAATCACCAATAGCGCCTCAACTCAAACTACATCCATCCATTTTCTTCCCACTTTCTCCAGCTCCTCCGGGGGGACCCCAAGGCGTTCCCAAACCAGCCGAGAGACATAGTCCCTCCAGCGTGTCCTGAGTCTTCCCCAGGGCCTCCTTCCGGTGCAGCCAGGAGGCATCCGGAACAGATGCCCGAGCCACCTCAGTTGGCTTCTCTCAATGTGGGGGAACAGCGTCTCTACTCCAAGCTTCACCTGTGTAACTGAGCTCCTCACCCTATCTTTAAGTGAGCGCCCAGCCACCCTGCGGAGGAAACTCATTTCAACCACTTGTATCCGTGATTTTGTCCTTTTGGTCATTACCCAAAGCTTATGAATGTAGGTGAGGAATGTAGCTTTGCCTCTCAACTCAGCTCCCGCTCCACCACAATACAGCATCACTGCCCACGCTGCACCGAACTCAAACTATATTGCTATATAACTAAACTTTAAAAATAACAAAAATGTGTAACTTTTCAAACCAATTTAAACGTAATTCCCGAGTTTTCTTACCTACGACAGTGACCATCCAGACCAGGACATAGGTAAAGCCCGAGATCCACACAGCGGACATGAAGAAGGTGAACATGAACCACTGTTTCCAAAAGCGCCTCCTACAGTCCGGGATGGTGAGGTACAGCAGCGTGATGATGGGCAGAGACAGCACCCAAACGACACGCTTCAAGTCATTCTCCGGCACGGCAAACACACTCTTATGCTCTGAAAGGGAAACAGTAGATGGATGACAGTTAAATCCCAGCTCATACTTGTGAGGATTGATGTTGTGTCCTAACCCTAACCTTGGGCAAGACACTTCACCCAGCTTGCTTGAGTGTGAGTGTGGTGTGTGTGACTGGTGGTGATGAGAGGCTGTTGGTGCAGATTGATGGCCACTCTTGTGTACATTGAATGAATAATCCCATGAAAAGTGACAAATGTGATCTTTTCACCTCATGTTGCTCTGTTCTGGTTCAGGTTGAAGAGGAAAAGAAGTTTAATATGGATTCAGCCGTGTCAAATTAATATGATTTAAAAAAAAAAACTATTTTAGAAAGGTAAAAATTAAAATTTCGTCTCCTGCTTCAAATCTAAAGATGCATTCACATTTGATATTGGAACAAAACTTTGAATAAACCCCAAACTAAACCTGGACTAGACTGGGACTAAATGAAAACTTTAAAACAGGACCAAACCAAGTCTATCAAGAGGATTAAACAGGGCTAAAACCAGACTCAAAGTGTGAACGTAGTTTTAGTTGTGACCAATTAAGTCTAGAGTCAGGTTTATTTGGAAAACCACATGTGTTTTTTTAGGAATTACTTGGTTTGAAAGGTTTGTGAACCCACTGACCACTAGTAATAAAATCCAATCTTCACTTCTACTTTCTGAGTGAACACAAAACTGCACTGACCCTCTGGTATCTCGTTGAGTCCGTGCAGGCTGAGGGACAGGTGAGAGTACGCAGAGCTGTCCTGGAATATCCCACTGTCTGTCCTGGAGCGACGGTGGACCCTGAGGCTGGAGTCATGGTTCCAGCCAATCAGAGTCTGGGTCTCGTTCTTCTCCTCAGACCGTCGTCCCAGACACCAGCAGCACGGGCTCAGCCTCCGCAGCACAAACTCACTGATGCGCAAGTCGAAGCAAAGCACCACGATGTACAGTGCATAGACCAGTAAGAGAGAGGCTGCGTCGTACCTGGGAATATGGGTCAGGTCAAAGGTAAAAAGTGATTCCATTGACTGATCACAGTTTTCAGTTAAGTGAATATTTTTTTCTTTTTAAAAACATATACATATGCAGGGTAAATGAACACAGTTAAGACATACGCTAATTTAAATATTTTTGTATATTTTCTTATTGACTTGCTTATATATTTTTATGCTTTATTTTATTAATTTTATTAATTTATATTGTGCCCACTCTGTGCAGCACTCTGGAAAGTTTGTGTTGGCAAAATGTGCTATATGCAGTAAATCAGGCATATCCAATTGTGGCCCTCAGACAAATTTTTCTTGGCCCTCAGGCTTCCAGGAGGGCCAAGCCCAAATTCATTCACATCAATGAAAATTTAACTTTTTATTGCAAGTTTTTTGAAAATCTACCTTGAAAAAGTCAATATTTAGTGTGTGGTTTTGAGGATCTTAGCATAAGTAAATGTTTAACACATTTTTATGTGTTAAACATGCACATATTTCAGTTATTCACTGTACTGAGCACCAGTCTGTGGCCCTCGATCGGCCCTCTGCTTCGTCTGTGTTTAGATATGTGGCCCTTGATGAAAAAAGTTTGAACATCCCTGCAGTAAATAAAGCCATCTAAAACGTTTACCACTCAAAGGCTATTAAAAATGTAATGAATTTGTCCAAAGTACATGGTTTCACTCCCACAGAAATGGCTGTAGACATTCTGAATCAGAAGCTCTAACTTTATAAATGATTATTTACAGTGATTTTGTCATATTTTAATTAAAATTAGATTAAACTGCAGCAAAAAGAGCAAATAAATCTGAACAAATCCAGGTTCAATGGTGGTTCAATTCAAACACTAACACAACTGAAGACTTTGAACGGCCTAACACTGCCATAATTACCTAATAATCACAGCCAAGTCATGTCATGCCAATCATGAAAAGTGGATTAATAATTAAGCTAACAACAAAGTAAAGTCAAAGTACACATTTCCTGTTCAGGTTCACGTTTATGGTGTGTTACAGTATGTCCCAGTGATAAATCCAGTGACTCAGATGTTTTGCTTTGATAAAAATATTGTTGTTCCAGTTTGATCATATATTACACAACAAACGTGAGCCACTTCTAAACTCTTCCTCCAGAACACTGCAGGGTGTAAAATCATTATTAATCACTAAAAAAGGTGCTAGAACTTCATGGTAGTTGGTAGTTAATGTACAATCCAGCTCTTACCAGTAAACTTTGTTGTCAGAAATGATGGCGATAACAGCAGATACACTGATGCCGTAGGCCAGGCAGTCTCTGAACAGGGGCCAGCAGCTAAGACGACCGGCCTGGACACGGAAAAGAGTAGAGTTATTAAAAAAATTTTTTATTACTGTGTTGACTAAGGGTGAGCAAACTTAACTCTAATTCAATAATCAGTTAAAAAAACCATCGGTATGTGACTTATGCAGTAAAAGCCCACAAAATGAGAGTCTATTCCAGAGATTAAGTTCAGGTTTATTTCAAAGTTTGCATTTACATGGCCTACTTGGTGAAAATAAATAAATAATGATAATAATAAAAAATAAAAAAATAGAGTAAAGGGTAACCAGGTGTACTCTGATACCTGTACTTGCCCACATTATCCTCTAGGTGGCCATGGACTAAATCAAACAAAAATTGCAATATAAATCAAGCTGTATTAAAATAAATAACCAAAATAATAAAATAAACATTAGCATAACAAGAATATATTCTAAAAAACAGGGAATATAAATAATTCGAATAATGTAGATTAGCAAAAAAACAAAATTAGCAAATTGAAGGTGCATTATGCAACTTTTTCGTTGGGTCTGTCCCCGACTTGTTTCTATGGATATATCATTGCCCTGCCTGGAATGTTCCACAGTGTAACATTAAACAGATCTACCTAACATTTATTAAATTACAGGTAGTTTTATGGTGCAAAAATAGAAAACAGGCATTCTGACTGAGTGGGGTTGCCTCTCCACAGATCTGACCTTTAACTTGGTCTGGTTTGGTCTCCATGACGATAGAAAGGTTTAATGCCATACTGTGAAACATTTCAGACAAAGCAATAACATTTCCATGAATAAAAGCATTTGACAGACCCTCCACCAGAAAAGTTACACAATGCACCAAATAAAAATAATAAACTAATGAACAAAATCTTAGAATAAACCAAATAACTTCAGTATTACAGTTTGCAGCACAACAGAGTGTGATTTACCATAGAGGCGAGGAGTCCACAGGCCGCGCAGATGCCTAGGAGGTTGTAAACGGCAGAGCCCACGATTGTGCTCACTCCAATGTCTCCCTTTGTCACAAAAACACCTGACACATAGTAAAAAACAATATTAATGGTCCTATATTACACAAAATCAATCTGGAGTTGTGTTTTGTTTCATTCTCACATGTTTGAGTAATCCTGCATTATTTGTCTGTCATTCTCCAAAGCTCGAAATGCTTTTAATTCAATAGAAATAGACAATTTCAGGGCTGCAATTGTCCATATGATTCTAGTGAAGGTGTATGGATTTTAAAAACACAGTGGATGACTTCCTGTATTACTACATGACATCACAAGTTGGAACAGTGTGGAATGTTATCTGTTTGGGAGGGTTGCAGGGTTTGAGTGTTTAACAAAATGAAAATAAGATAAAACACAACTCCAGGATGTTTTGATGAGGAAACAATATTATAACAGAGAGAAATCTGGACATAGTGTAATACGGACCCTTTAAATAAGATAATATATGAGGTATGAGAGTGATTCTGAACCAATAATTATGGAATAAAAATGAAGCTTACCCAAAAATGCAGTGACCAGTTCAGGTGCAGAGCTGCCGGCCGCCATAAAAGTGGCTCCTGCTACATCCTGGGACAGTCCCAAACCTGTGCAAAACAAAACAACATGTATTATTATTGACAATATGTGTAGGCAATGTTTGTAAGGTCTCATCTTTTCCTGTATTAAAAGAACATCCCTAAAACTAAGGAAGTTGCTTTTTATTTACCATAGCTTACGGCAACAGAAGCACTCCTAAAACTATCCATCTGTACAGTCAGAGTTGGGATGACATAAAAAGTCTCCCCTACAACAGTGTATCATGACTAGGCATTTGTGTAAAGTTAATAGTGTGTTAATCTTCGTGTATTTTGACCATATAGACTGTATGGACACAGCTAACCCTCTAGCCAACGTGTTTCAGATAGGAGGTGAACATGGGAGCGCTTATAGCTGCACTGACTCTGTTTCCAATTGACTTTACACAGAAAAATTGTCTCCCCTCTCTCTGTAACTGCTGCAGTGAGCTTCGTCATTTTGGTCTTAAAATGCTCATATTAATCCACTCTACATGATCCTGGTGTTTTTATTTCACTATTTTGACCATAAATAAATTCCTACTCTGGAACTCTAGTCCAAATTCTCTCCTATAACCCCACGTGAGCTTCATTTGACTGGAGCTGAACACTGTGGGTGACGTCACACTCCCTTAGTCCACTTCTTTATACAGTCTATGATTCTGATTTAATGTGCATAGCCTATACTTTATCGACATACTTAAAATTATAATTACAGAAATACAACTGTCATTACAGCTAACACAGTAACACAACACAACACAAGTACTATTAAAGTATTAAAAAGTTAGTTTTAAAGAGCCTATATTATGCTATTTTCTGATCTATATTTTCATATGATTTCAGCTCTGGAACTGACAATCTCGACTGAACAAAAGGTAAAAGGAGCTGTTAACTTTAAAACTACCACTTCATGACATTACAAGACAGAAGAGGGCATTTTAAGCTTTGGAGATGTAAACAGATGAATGATAAAAGGTTACTCAAACATGTGTGAATGAAACAAAACACAACTTCAGGTAGGTTTTGGATAAAGAAACGTTATACCAAGGAGTCAATTTTGCATAATATCAGACTTTTAAATTAAAAAGTAAAAAGTTATTATGTAAAATGACGTGATATTGATGTAAAAGCAATAAAAACTCCCACAACTGCTAATCTCTTTTGTTTATTATTAAACAAGTCTAATTGCTGCAGTCACTTCCTCCCATTGTTGGCTCCGTCCCTCTGTGACAGTGTAGGGCCTGGTGCAGACCCAGAGTGACGTCACCCAGGGGCCCTGGGTGCCCTCTGAGCAAAGTGCATGACTCTCACTCCCTCCTCCACAAACACACATGACGCTCAGTAAAGTAAGTGAGCTGTGAGTGTAGGACACGTACAGGCTCTAATACAGTGCAACAAAAATATGAGCTAGAACAGAAATATGATAAAACAGAAGGGATAATTAACAAAACAATCAATTTATAAACATTCTAATAATTTTTTCTAACATTAAAGGTGCATTGTGTAACTTAAATGCTTTTCTCCATGGAAATGTTATTGCTTTGTCTGGAATGTTTCACAGTATTAAGGGTATTAAACCTTTCTATACAGGCTACAGGTCAGATCTATGGAGACGCAACCCCACTCACAGTCAGAATCCCTGATTTTCTAGGTATTTTTGAGCTATAAACCCACTTGTAATTGAATAAAAGTAAGGTAGAGCTGTTTAATGTCATACTGTGAAACATTCTGGCAGAGCAATGGCATATCCAACAATAACAACAAGAACAAGAAACAAGCAGGTGATGGACCCTCCACCTGAAAAGTTACTAAATGCACCTTTAAAGTTGCACTTAGTACGTTTTTTGGCGAAGGGTCTGCCACCTGCTTGACTGAAACACTCCACAGTTTGGTATCAAACAGTTACGGGCACAACCAAAAACAACAACAAAAAAAGAGTTGAATTAATTTGTATGTTTTGAGAAATTGTCAGAAAAGCAATAACATCTCCATGGACACAAGCAAGTAGAAGACCCCATCCAAGAAACATACATAACGCACTTTTAAATACATTTCTAAAGTGAAATGCATCTCACGGTACGATATTTATTGCGATATTTTGGAGAGGCTGATATAATTATAGATAGGACGCTTCTTTGCTTTTAAAATACCTTGACAAGATTTTGGTGTGAATTATTACCATCATAATCCCAAGAACTCAAGTTAAAAAACATATAACTTCATATTGTCTGCGCTGAAATGAATCATAGAATATGTAGTTCCCATTTATTAGCTATTTCTACTCTAAAACCATGCATTTAAGCAAAGAAACTTGTAATTCGACATACAATATCACAATATTTTAGTTATTATTACATCCCTAGTTATATGTGTTTATACAGAACATGTTTTGGTTCCTGTCTGGTTCTTAAAGGTGCTCTGCTTAACATTTCCCGTGGAGGATCTGCCACCTGCTTGTCTCCATGGAAATGTTATTGCTTTGTCTAGAATGTTCCACAGTATAGATTAAACCTATATATCACAAGGGAGACAAGCAGGTACGCTACATTACTCTGTGTCTTTTATTTATTTTATTCATTTTTCATGTGTTTTATTGGTTTGATTTATTGCTATTCAGTGGTTTTGCTCATATTTTATTATTTATTTATTTATTTAATTATTTTAATGGTTTTATTGTTTTAGGACTTGTATGATTAAATTTGAGTGTTTATTTTATCATTATATTATATTAATGCTATTAGTATGTATTTGTGCAGCACTTTGGAAACTGTTTGTTTGTGAAATGTGCTATATATAAATAAAGTGGATTGGATTAGATGGGATTACAGTTCAGATCTGTGGAGAGTCGTCCCTCTTAACAGAAGGAATTATTGTTTTTTTGAGCAATAAAAACACCTGTAATGAATAAATGCTTGATGGATAAGTTTAATGTCATACTATCGAACATTTCAGGCAAAGCAATAACATAGAAATTGCACAGTGTACCTTAAAATTAGACTTACGTTCACTGATGACTTCCAGTGAGGGGAGGAAGTAGTCGTCGCACACTATGGACACGGCCAGCAGCATGTAGAAGATGATCATGAAGTAAATGACCAGACCTCCATCTTTCCTCTCCTGAACCGTGAAGAACCCGTCAGGAAACTCTGAGGACTGAGGGAAGGTGCACTCGGTCTCATTCTCTACAACGAAATCATGAAGACGATCAAAGGTAAACATGGAAGCACCATATCAGGAAAGTACTAAGAAGCAAAGATCAACACTTGGAAATTTACTGTGAGAAATATTTATATTATATTTATATTTTTATGTTGGAAAATATTGTTATGGGAATAAATATGGCATAAAATATTACCGTGGATAAAAGCAAGTAGTGCAAACAAGCCAAAGCAAATGCCATACACCATAGTAAAAATGCAAATACTTCAGAGGTGCTTCATAGATGTCAATATTTAATGCTATACAGTGGACTATTCACAGTAAAGGAGTAACATAACAGACCCCCTTCTCCATCAGAAAAGTTACATAGTGCAGCTTTAATTTCACAAGTTGCATTTTACTATAGCTGACTTCAATAAAATGCTTTAGAATAAACAGTAGAATGAGAGCTAATAGTTAAATTGTAATAATAATCCTATGGGAAAAACCAACCTACAACTTCATGTTCCAATCAAACATGACATAATAATCCAGTTATCGCAATAATAGGCCTACAGTCTATTAAAGGTGCACTGTGCAAAGAGATGTTATTGCTTTGCCTGGAATGTTCCATGATATGATATTAAACATTTACACTTCCAGTCAAAAGCTTTACACCCTAATATTTCCAGTTAGTTATTTATTGCAGTTCAAGTTGTGCAAGTCCAATGAAGAGCTTGAAACGGTACAGAGGTAAATACTGAAAAGGCAGAGGTTAAAAAAAAAAAAAAAAGATAAAAGATGCAAAACACAAGTCCAAGCTCTGCCAAAACTATCTCAGGAAAAAAGAACAAGATGGTAAACTTGAAAACATGGAGTGTTCAGCACAGTCTCCAGACTTTAGCCCCATTGAGTTGGTTTGGGATGAACTGGACAGAAGAGTGAAAGTCAAGCAACCTACAAGTGCCACACATTTATGAGAACTTCCGCAACAGACTTGGGAAGAACTGTCTGAAGAATATTTGATTTCTGTTGTAAAAAGAACGAGCCACGGGTTTGTTCAGCTGTTATATCTGCCAAAGGTGGACACGTTCATGAATCAAAAGTTTAGAATACGTTTTGGTCAACAGTAAACAGTAAATAGGAAAAAATTGAAAAAGTGTGGTGTTCTAAAACTTTGACATCTAGAATTTATTCATCACAAGTGTTTCTATTGCTCAAAACTATATAACTCCTTCTGTGAACAGGGCGACTCTCCACAGATCTGATTTGTAATGTAGCATAGTGCTGTAACCTGCTTATCTCCCTTGTGATAGATTGAGGTTTATATGTCTGTGTCTATACTGTGGAACATTCTAGACAAAGCAAGACCTTCAGTGGAAATGTTACACAGTGCACCTTTAAGTGAGGAAAAATCAGTTTGTATTGTTTATTTAAGATATGGAAGCATGCCTATGTTCTCTCATTTCTACATCCCCCCACACACAAAAAGAATAAATAAATAAATAAAAATTAGGCCCTATGTTCCCACATTTCCTTTATCATCAATTTGGATCAGAATGTATCCACATTTCTCCCAATTTGGTAATCAATTAGACCCAACCTATTAACCAGCAGCAGTTGACTACAGATGTAATATCCTTCTCGGACCTGAAGGAAAAAAAGTGTATTGCAATATATATATTTTTGGTGACTTTTTTATTTGGATGTAAATGAACACTTTAGCATTTAGATTTTGTTCATTTTAATTTCATTTATAATTTTATAACATGTCCTTTATAATAGGACGCCTGGGACATTTCTGTGTTAAATCCAACCTAACAAAACAACTTTTTTGATGACAAACAACTCTGACAAGCTTCTGCAGTCAATAAGTTTTTAGACTCTCTTTTAATTTCTTTCTTTCTTTTTTTTTATTATCAGAGTGCAGCCACAAACTAACTCCTGTTGAGTTTTTATTTTTTATTTTTATTTTTTTATCCTGACATGATAGCACCCTATAATCCCCCAGCCCTATTTAGGCAGAGTAACCTAGTCCCCTCATTAAGAGTCTATCTCAAAACACTTAAAAGATAAACTGGTTAACTCAATGTCCACTATAAGGGACATGAATGAATGGACTGGGCCTCAGAAGGTTATAGAGGTCAGGGTGCAAAGGATCCTAGGTTGAAATGACTCTGAATCATCCCTTTAAATGCAGTATAAAAATAAAAATGACTTGATTTAGAGTTTAATTTTGTAAAAAAATAAATAAAAATCCTTGAAATAAGACAAATCTATGAACAAAGAACTATAGGACTAACTCCTAAGATATTCAGCATGTCATTGTTAACCGCTTTTTTCACAATCCAGACACTCTGTACCATTAAAAATCAATCAAACAAACAAACAAACAAAAACGAATTCCTGATTATTTATTTGTAACAGTGCTTATGGTTATCAGCCCAGATGGTGAGATGTTTCAAGCAAACGCACAATAGATTTCGCACTCCGCAAATGAGCCGTGGCATCACTTATTAGCCATTAAAGTAAAACAAACTGCTGTAAAATCACAATAGACACGACAATTAGAGCGAAGTGACAACACAGACAGGCCTTACCCAAAGCTCTGCGCACTCTGCTCCTGTGCGTGTCCTCTGCGCTTTTGGCTGTAAACGACACAAGATGAACGGAGCAATATAAAAATACTACAAATCCAACAAAGTATGGAATAAAATCTCTTCGTTTCGTCCTTGTGTACGAGGGGGGCTTATACATGGTTCCTTTGCTATAAATAAATAAACAGAATTGTGTTATAACAGGATATTTCGCGGTTTCATGGGTATGAGGGTTATGCAGGATTAGTTGGAGCTGGAAGGAATAGCCCACTACACTACAACTACAAGGCGCACAGGGGGGGATTATAGGGGGAGAAATTGTGTTTTAAATACTGGGGGGATCACGAGGACACAGTCATTCCGGTCCAGTTGAACGCGCTGCAGCTCCGGAGCGCGCTCACAGCGATCTGTCACGGGTTCTTAGTAAAACCACTGCCTCCAGGACACTTTTACTATAGTCTAAAATGAGTGTATCATCCACTAAAACCATCTTAAAAATAAATAAACAGTCATAAAGGCAGTGGAAGCGGTGGAAGTACAAAAGTAAAAGTACGAGACTTAAGTACCCTACAAATTTTATGTATCTGTACTTTACTGAAGCACATTTTCCAGCAACTTTTTAGTTTTGCTTCACTAAATTTGAGAGCATATATCTGTATTTTCTGCTCCACCACTACATTTTAGATCTGGGCTCAAAAGTAAAAAGTACTTATCTTTCATTATAGGTTCAGAGCTTTTTTTTATTGTACATTTAATTTGAGTTAACATCCCAACTTTGAGCAAACCAAATACACAAAAGCAGCTAGAAAAAATAATAAAGAAATCAATTGAATCACTTAAAATCAGCTAAATTATTTTTCAAAATCGCTACATTTCATCCATTAATTGCTCTAAAAATCCCTGCAAATACTTTTACTTATTACTCTTAAAGTACATTTTTAAATCAGATACTTTGATACTTTTACTTAAGTCGATTTTTTCATGTGATACTTTTACTTGAGTAACTTTTTATCTCTGTGTCTGTACTTTTACTTAAGTAACAAAATTGAGGGCTTTGTCCACCGCTGCATAAATTGTAAAACACACTTTAGCCGAGGATCATCTTTGGTGCGCAAAAACTTGGATAAAAATTATAGTTTCATTTGCCATTTGTAGTTTTAAATACATTGGAAAAGAATGTGTAAAAATCTCAGTGTAGTGGAATTATCTTAAACCGTCTATGGGACTGATACACTCCAGTGCCAATTTGGGAAATGGCACCAACTGTTCCTTTTAAACTTGTGCGTAAAGGGAGAGTCAGTGCACTTTTACGCACAGCTGAAAGACCTCCACTTTGAGCCTACGCCACACATTTCCCAAGTCTTCGTAGCCACTTCAACACAAATACTGATTACTGGTAATAGAAAAATAATGTGTTACGATCAGAGGACTTTACCTGGTCGAAATTAACCTGTGGGCCACTGTGGAGCTCCAGCAGATGGCGGTACGTGCTGTGGATCCCAAACTAGCTCACAAAACACTCAGAAGAACACTTTTGACCGTTTCAAAATTGGCAAATCATGGAACGTGAGGTAAAAAGTTCAAAATATAAAAGTTTTCAGAAAGTTATTAAGAGTAGTAAAAAGTTAATTACCTCATAAAGAGCAAAAAGGAATTCTGTGCTGTGCAATTCTCTGCTTTCTCCAATATCACGGCCAACAGTGACCCCACCTGGATAGTGTTAGTAAACTCGAGTAAAGGGGTCTTGTTTGGACATGCCCCGTTTTACCCAAATCCAGACCCTCAAGAACCACTGCAGGACCCTTCTCTGGACTTCTTGGATCTCCAAAACAGTAAAAGTACTTGGACAAACATGCACGAGGGCAGCGACAATACTGGTACGTCTTTTTGTTTGGCACATGTGGCTAGCTACTGAAAACAATCAAATCAAACTGTTATTAATTAGTTTTCTGGTTTATTCTGGCTTCCCAAAAATTAAAATGTTAGTCATTAATATATATTTTTTGTATAAAGTCTATGGCATTCTTGTATCTCCTTAAAAAACTAAAATATTGTCTCTTTATATTATGGTTTTAGTTCTAATTTAAGTATTTGATTCTTCATTGAACAACACAAACAGTTTGACCTAGATTTTAATATCGAATTTATTACAAAATTGAGATGTTTTAGAAAGCAAAGTGGCTCATATTTATTAAGTATATAGTATAAGTATAATCATTATTAAGTATACACTGACTAACCTCATATCTTTTTATTTACAGGGACCCCTAGAGGCTCAAGAGGATTTTGCCTGGACATGTTCCTGAATTATTCCTATATCTTCAGCAAAAGACATGTCCTGGTTTCAGTGGACCATCTCTACAATGAAGTGACAGGAGCAAGGACAAGGTAAAGGTGAGTAAGAAAGCGTTTTTTTAGTTGCTTTAATTTTCTAAGATTGACACGAGGTTGAATATCATGATGCTTTTACTTGTTGTATTTCTTGTGGGCATTTTAGAAGTTGTAGTAAGTAGTTGTAGAAGATTTTTTGACTGCAGTGGTGCTCAAAAAGCTTGGATCGTGTGGTTTTGCGTGGATTGTTTTGGTTTCTTTGATGCATGGAGCCACACTTTCATGACACAACACTGGATAAATGGCGCCCTCTTGTGGTCAGATTCAGTAACTTGAAAATAGTGCAGACGAGTACTGAAACTTAGTCAAATTTATTTTTGCAAAACTTAAAAGTTAAAGCAGATTTAAAAAAAACTTCTATGCATATATATTCATATCTTGTTAAGTTATTATTTAAAAAGCTGCACTAGTGTTTTTAAATTGAAGAAAATAAAATAATGACTAAGGAAAATGTTTAAAGTTAATGTAAACACAAGTGAGATATTGTAACCTTCCTATGGCTCATTGATTTTGACATGGTTTGATTTTTGGGATGGGGAACGATTATTAAAGAAATGTTTAATTTTTTTGATCTGTGAAAGGAGCACGGTTTATAAGATTTGTCTTCTTCCTATTCCTTTTATTCGTGCAGCAAAGACAAGACAAATAATGGTAGAAATATGTATTCGTGTTTAAATGTCAGATTTTTTGTAGTTGTTGTTATCTTTAAATTGATGCCAACAAAATAAAAGCATGAGCAATAAATAAATAAATATTATTTGATCATTAACCAACAAGAGCAGGTGATGCAGTGCTGTTGTCTGTTTAGATTTAAAAATCTACCCCAAAAATCTAGGTACTTTCCACTCCTGAATATAGTGCATTCAAACGCACTGATTTAGTTTCATAAATGTTGCTTAACCTGATTCTGCTTACTGTAATTAATGCCTTAAAGCAGCATTGTGTAACTTTCCCCAAGGGTCTGTCAAATGCTTTACTCAGTGGAGATGTTATTGTTTTGTCTCAAATGTTTCACAGCCAAGTTACAGGTCAGATCTGTGGAGAGGTGACCCTGCTCACAGACAGATGGCCTGTTTTTCTAGGTACTTTTGAGCTATAAAACCACCTATAACTGTAACTGAATAAATGTGTGGTAGTGCTGTTTAATGTCACACTGTGGAACATTCCAGGCAGAGCAATGACATATCCATAGAAACAAGCAGGTGACGGACTCCCAACAACAACAACAACAACAAAACAAACATTACACAGTTCACCTTTGAGACTTGATATTGTGCAGAAGTTTTGTTTAAGTTGCTGTAGAGTGGTGAGCTCAACAATACTGACTGAACTTAACCTAACTGAGGTATTAACTTCCCGATCCTCATCTAGACATTTTGTTTTTGTCAGTTCAATAAGAAGATAAGAGTTATCTGAAATGGAAAGTTGCAGATAATAATGCACATAAGTTCTCAATGTTGAGTATGTTGAAATATATTCTTGCATTTGTTGCTATAGGAATTGCTTATTTTTTTAATACAAATATTGAGAGAAATGAAACAAAAATCTTGCACAAAATTGTAAAAAAAAAAAGCTGAAAAATTCAGAAATATTAACTTTATAATTAAATGTAAATAGTTTATACCACAAGTTGCATACCACAATAACATAAATTTCATTATCAGTTTTTCCAATATGTTTACCACCTTTGTAAAAGATGTGGTTAGACAAATGAAAGTATATTTGTATCTTTTTAAATAATAATAATAATAATGTCTTCTTTCATTTCAAATTGCTATCTATGATTTATATTTGACCTGCAGTCTTGACTTTTTCCATTCATAAATTTACAGCACGAGCAGAAAATGACTTTGACTCAGACAAACTTTATTGATCCACAAGGGAAATAATTTGAACACAGTAGCTCACATGTCTCAATTTAATGTAAAAACAAAGAGCAAAAATATAAATGTCAGTAACACATTTTAAATCAGTAGCAAAAAGAGCAAGAGACCGGTGTGAAATAAGACATAATTATAACGGGTGAGCACTGGAGACTTGTTTTCATGGTTACAGAAGGTTTTATTGGGGTTATGGCATTCAAAGGTTTTGTGCACTGAGATAACTGGCCACTGTTGTTTATAAAACCCTTTGAGTCAGGTGATTCACAAGAGCTGAACTCTGAACACTGTAATATATTTGTTATTGTCTTTATTTGCTCTTACAGAAGCGTACAGTTATATTATCTTTAATTATGACACATGTGGAACAATCTCGTCATTCAGTGCATTGCAAAAGAAGATGTAATTATTATTTAATGGTAATCTTCGATCCAGCACTATCTCTCTCTACATAACATATTTAAACATTTCCATTTAACATTTATTAATTAAAGACATTTGTATTTCTCAAAAATACAATAATTCCTTCTATGAATAGAGGCGACTCTCCACAGATCTGAATTGTAATATAGCGTAGTGCTGTAACCTGCTTGTCTCCCTCTTGATAGATTTAATTTATACTGTGAAACATTCTAGACCAGTGTTTCCCAAACTTTTTTTCCGGGACTCTATTTTAAAAGTCACAAACCTTCGCGACCCAAGACAATAGACATTATTCATAAATCACATAATAAAGGTGGATTTGACCATTATTGAACATTAATGAGGATATTTTATTGTTGACTAAGTGATCGTGTCTCTCTGAATAATTAGTTTTACTCAAGTTTCCGACAATGAAAAACAGTAAATGAATCAGCAATAAAATGATCCATAAGTCGCCTATTTGGAC